TAGATCATCTCAGCTGCTGCTGGCATGATGGGCTCCACGTGATAAGAAGGGGCTTTGCTGTTGCCCTGTTAATGCCCTGAGCTTCACAAGTGATCCTTGGAGCCAGAGCTGGTGAGTATGAGAGACAGAGAAATGCTGCTTGCCTGGGTTCTCATCCAGCCTGGATATACTAACAGTATTATTTTTTTCCCAGGGTCATCAGATTCTTGTAAGAGAATAATAAAGTGCTTGAGATGGAAGAGGAGTCAGAACTCTCTGTGCCTTTTTTTTTTACTACCCATTATGTGACCCTGAACAAATAATTATGAAATTCCATGGATACTTGAGGTAGTCCTGTTCTCCTTGTGGTTCCATGAACAGGCCAGACCTTATGTTAACAACTGTGCACTTCTCTCTCTTGTTAATTTATTACCTCTTCTTACCTGCCCCCATCTCTGCAGTAGTTTTTTTTAATGATACCAGATTATTAGACAAAAAAACCAGTGACTAGCTTTGTCACTGCAGTTTCTCAGGCCTGGAGGGAAGCAAAGGGTAGTGTGTGGAGCAGTTTAAGCCCCGAAGTGTCCCATGCAGTGTTAGTTTACCTGCCCTGTCCTGCTCTCGTGGTGGGCACATCCTTGTAGCTGCAGGGAGCTGAGCTGGAGGAACCTGCCCAGATGTTGAACTGAGTTTTGGTTTGAGCAGCTTCACCTTGGTTCAGTTCTCTGCCCCTCACCATGAGACTGCACAAAACACATTGTGTGGCCTGAGAACAAGTGTTTGGATGCTGAAGGTGGTGTTTTAGGCAGAGGTGGTGAAAGGTTGGTATCTTAGTGGTGAGGGAACTAAAGCACCAAGGGACCAGACAGTTTCAGTCCTTTAAACCTCTGGAGACTTGGTAGACTGGAGAGTTCTGGGATCATCTGATGAACAGGCAAAGTATGAACAAGGTTGATGATGAAAATCCTTCCTTCTGTAGCAGTCTGACTTGTTTATGGCCTGTGGTAAATCTGGAGGGGTTCCCAGAAAGTCCTTGAATGGGAACACTGGATACGTTACACAACTGCAAATAGTTCTTCCAAGTGATGAAAACTGAGTGCTTTTCTTGAGTGAGAAAGGAGACCCCTGGCTTTTGAGAGGAGCTGGGCATTGCTGAGCAGGGATGGTCTGGCTGCTCTGTGGAATCCCAGGAAGCTGCTTTGGTGGCTCTGCAGGCACGAGGGATGGAACCTGCTGGTAGGTTCTGCTCTTCACATCTCTCCTAAAGCTTTCCTGCTCAGCTTTTCTGTGTATCTTTGGGATAGCTGGCTGCTTGGAACCTGTGATATCTTTACCTCCAGCAGTGTTTTTAAATACAAGCTGCTACTCAGGACTTCTTCTGAGGGAAAATTAGTGGCTCTCTTCTCCTGGTTTGCAGTAACTTATCTTCAGGGTAGAAGGGAGCACTAATTTCTTTCCTGGGGGTCAGTGCAGAGTTGCTACAGAGCAGTTGCTTTTACTCAAATGCAACTTAGACTGGCAATTAAAGCAAATGATAACAAGGCCTGCTATGTAATTTCACTGCTCCATTAACTTTCTTGGGAATTGCAAGGGACTGGGACAAGTGTAATCAGAGTAACTCGTGTCACAACCCCCCCAGAAGGAGCTGTTGAACCTGCTCTACTGCTCTGCTGAGCACTGATCCAGATCTACCAGTTCAGGCTGCGTGTGCTGAATTCAGAGCTGCTGGAAAAGTTAAATACCCTTTTTAATGGTACAGCTCTGCTTTGTCAGAGCTTACCTACATCAGTGCTCTCCTGAAAAATAACTTTTTTTTTGAGCAGGATATCTCGTTTAGATGCCTGCTGTAGTGTCTGAGATCTTCAGTCCTGTGTTGCTGTTAGACTGTCAACTGTTTGAGGACGCAGCAGTGAAAATTATCTCTGCTCATCTGCACATTTTGCTTATTTTCTCTATGAAAGCAGATCCTGCACTATCAGCTTGCAAACACACTGGCCTTTTTGAAGTTACGTGACTCATGAGGCTGCCAAAGCACTTGGAGTGCTTTTTAGCACTTGTGTTTTGGTTTTTAAGCTGGGCTTTTTGAAATGGCTTTTTGGTGCCTAGCATCTCCTCTGGGGGGGGAACACCTTCCTCGGGATGGAGATTTCTTGATACTTTTAAGAAAAGGAGAGCAAAAGAGCTGCAACTTGCCTGCAATGAGAAGTGGCCACTCTTTAGCACCTCACCTAAAGAGGGAAATGAAAGAACTCTGGATTATTTGCAGCTACTTTATTCCTTATTTGCAGCACTGGGGACTGGCAGCATTTGGCTCCTGCCAGCGATAGCTGAGCTGCAACACAGTGGGGTTTTTGTTTGGTGTGTTCCAGCAAATCCAGCAAAAAATGATATGAGACACATAGCAGGTTACACTTGATAGAGGTTTACAAACTCCCTCAAAATTATATTTCCTGCTTGTCCCAGAACAGCTGCAAGGCCTTTGAGGAATTCTAGAGCCTATTTGAGTTGTCTTCGTAGCTGCTGGTCTCCTGGCTAAAGCTCATTAGCTGTGGTCAGGAGAGGTTAATTAACTGCTGCCTCTGGAGAGTTCTGAGGAGGTCTGGATAATGCAATATTATATCAGTGACAATGTGGTGGGCAAACTGGGAGGTTTATTTTCGGGATCCAAGTCCCTCTGTCATCATGAGCTCACACTGAAGCAGGTGAATGATAAAATTGTCCATGTAATTGGAATTTTGTTCCCCACCAGCCAGGCTGAAGGGACAAGAGGGAAGAGGAGAGCACTGGCTAATCTGGGGATTCCAAAAGACATCACCTGGTGCACGTTGAGTCCTGAGCTGTGTTATGGTCTCACAGCCCCACATTTAGTGGTTTGGGAGAAGTGAGACTTTAGGATAAGCTCCAGGCTTTGAAGGGTGCAGAGAAGTCCCAAACCATGGAGATAAGGACGCCAGAGCTGCAGGTGTAGGTTAGGACAGCTCTGTTCAACCCTCCCTGTGGACAGTGAGTGATGAGGAACCTGTTTGGCCTTGCCTGAGGGCTGAGCAGTGTAACACACACTTAAAGCAGGCCCACAATGAGGGTGCAATCCCCAAGAGACCTGGGGAAAGTTGCCTTCTTTTTTAGGTGCAATGGGGGCTCTTCTTTGCTATTGATCGGATTTAAAACCAATCCTATCAATAATGATGGGGGTTTGATTGGTTTGTGTGCTCCTGAAGTTAATTAAAGGAGAGACAGCACATACAACTCTTGAATCATTTTTACAGGGACTGCAGTGCACGTTCAAAGCCTTTTCTTAAGGAGTGTTTCGGTTGCTCATAAAAACAGCTGGAGAAAATGCCCAGTTCAGATGAAAAAAATAATGTTCAAGGTCCATGTGGCTTCTTTTAAGAGAGGCTTAATCTTTCTGTTGACATTCTTGATACCAGTCTCTAAGAAAATAAGACCATGTAGTCCCACAGTTAAGCAGCTTAGAAGGTTTTTTGTTGGTTGGGTTTTTTTTGTTGGTTGGTTTTTAGTTTTGTAATTCCTCTGTATACTAGAGGTACCTGGGCATTGTATCTCAGGCTCTGTTTTTAGTATAACTCACAAATAGGCTTTGCAGGAATGAATCCATCCGTGATTTTTAGTCTGTCATGTGAACAGAAATTTAATATTTCTCATATTTTCAGGAAGGAAATGAATTAATGGTATTAAGTGATATAAAGTGTCACACTGTGATTCCGAAACAGATTATGGCCTTTCAGCTCTTGTTAAAAGCCTTTTAAGGACAAGCTGCAAGCAGGAAAGTTGTCTTTTGGTTTCAGAAGCATTTAAAATCTGCTTTTGGTCAATCCACTTTTAAGGTGGATTCGGATTTACGAATGAATAAGCTTTTGGGGGAAAAAAAAGAGTGTGGTGTAAGATGCACTAAAGCAGCTGTTTGAGGCTTGTAGGTGGTTTGTGGTGATGCAGAAAGGATGAGGAGTCAGCATCCCTGTGGCAGGTGGGTGAGAGATTGGCTGGGAAAATGTGACACTGAAGGATTTGGGGAGAGCTTCCTGTGTGTGAGGGGGCAGCTTGCTGAGTGCTGCATTCATGGGAGATGGTCGCATTGGGAACCACAGCTGGGCAGTGATTGAAGAGTGACAGTCCTACAGGATGGCTTTGTTAACTGCAGTTAAATTGAACAGGTTAATAATGTAAAATGCTTGTCCAGGGTTAAGGGTGTGGTGTGCTTTGAAGCTGAGGACTTTAGCCACAGCTATTACATCTGCTTGGCACTTAGAGGGAGAGAGAGATTGATTCAATCTGATTATTTTCATTCAAGGCTCAGTATTGTAGCAAAGTAACTTAATGTTGGAGTTGGACGAAATCACTTAAACTAAAGATTTTAGTGATGAATTTCAGTGTATTCAGTCCAAGAGAAAAGGACTCTCGTCCAAGCAAATGGTAGCTGACAGACATCTCCGAGTTCCCTGTGCCCTTCGTTTTCCCTGAAAATCTTGGTACGTCCTTGTGATGCACTTCAGTCTCAGGTTGTTAGAGCAGTTTCCAGGATCACTGTGAAATAAGGAGGCTTTGTCCAGCCAGTTCCTTACAGCTCTGCCTGAGGAGGTGCTTTATGTTGGAGCTCTTTGTCCAGTAATTCTTGTTGAAAATAGCCGAGGCTGGGAAATGTTTCCAGCGGGGTGACGGGGAACATCTGGGTGATGCTGCTGCTGTGCTTGGAGCTGAGAGTGTCACAGCTTTGACCCTGCCTGAATAGTTGGTTTAGACATGTGGAATAAGAATGATGTAAAGGACACGAGTGAGAATAGCTTGTCTTGAGTATCAGCGTTGCTTAATCCCAGCTCGTAGGTGCTCATTGTTTGGCTGCTTCCCTGCTGTTCACACTCACCGGGAGCCTTTGGTGGGCTTTCTTGTGACAACAGTGCTCTGGGAGCCCTTAAAACGTTTTGCTACAAAGCAGTGAAGGGGTTCAACTTCAATCTAAGGAAGTTCTTGGACTATTTAGGGTTTTTTTTTCCCCTTGTTTTCAGCGCCGGCTGCGTCACCTGCGGAACATCGCTGCCCGCAACATCATCAACAGGAACGGGTACCGCCTCCTGGACACCTACTTCACCCTGCACCTCTGTGACAGCACCAAGATATACAAAGGTAACCAGGCTTCCCTCAGCCTCCCTGCCAGTTTATCTTTGAGTTCTTATGACAGGAATTCTCTCGCTTTTTTCCCCACCTTGCCAACCCGCTGCCGTTATTTCCATCACCTTTGTAACTCTGCAGAAGAGCTCTTCAGTTCCCTCAGCTTCCCCAAAGCCCTCAGTGTGAGCAGCCAGGCCAGCAGAACAGATGACAGGTTTGGCAGAGCCTCTGAAACCAGCCCGGTTTTGTCTTTGCTCTCCCCCCACTGATAATTTGAGAAGTTGGGAACTTCCAAGGGCACAGAAAAGTTAAAGGGTTTGGAGCCGTGGTTGCCTGTTGTGAGGGAGGGCGTTCCACTCGTGCACAGCAGTTGTGTTACAGAGCAGACACCAGCACTTATCCAAGTTTTCCAGGACTAGCATAGTCAGCCAGTGACATGGAGCAACCTGTTGTGCTCTGGGTCACTGTGTGAGTGTCACACCTCGTGTCTCTTCATGCTTTGCTTCCCGCTGCAGTGTGTGGTTCTTCATTGTTGGTAGAAATGCATTTTTATGCTCCTTTTGATATGATCAACAGTAGTTGGAGGTGAATTCTGGTTTTCTCCTAGTTTTTTTTTTTCACCTGGCACAGTTGAACCTTGTTTGGCTCCCAGAGTTGCTGTTTTAGCAGGATAAGAACACACAACTTGAGCTTGTTCCTTGGACTTGTGGTGGTTGGTTGAACCTCTGACTAAGGACTGTTTGTAGGGGCTGTTCTGCACTCCATGAAATCTTTATCCTTGGCCTCCAGTGGGATGGATGTCGTACAAAATCTGTATTCCAGCCTCTAGAGCTGTCTGCCCAAAGACTTCAAGCTCTCACTTTGGCTGGGAAAGCCAAGGTCCATGTGTCAGCAGTTGCTTATTCCCATTTAAATCCAGGGTTGTGGGCACCTGTGTCAGATAAGTTGGCAGTTCCCTTTCCAAGCTTCTGGAATTCTCTCTTTGGGAAAGCTCTGCAGATATTTTATCTGAGCTGAGCTGTCCCAGGAGGATGTTGGGTGACAAACCAGTCACTTGGCAAATGTCATCCAAATATTGTTAAGTACTGGGGCATGTTCCTTCCCCAGAAACCGAAGCAGATCTTCAGAATTATCATGGGGATGAAGATGAAATGCTAAATTTAAATAATGACTTGTAATAAATTACTCCTCCACACTTGATTTAGTCAAAAGCATGACTGCATTTCAAAGTCTTTCTCCTGAATCTGTCACTAATAAACTAGACCCACTAGCATTTGTCTTTCCTGAGTGTTACTTTTCTTAGCTTTTTCTATTTCAAGTACTAAGATTTGTATCAGTGTTTAAGCTAATCTAAAGGTATTTTTTTTACTCCTTTTTTCTTTAGAATTTTATAAGAGTGAGGTGATCAAGAATTCTCTGGTAAGTTATTTTAATGCGGAAAAACTTCCTTTTAAAAATTATTTATTTAGTGCCAGCATATTGATTTCTCTGCTGAATATCATAACTCTTTCATGTGTCTTTCCACTCTTCAGTTCTAGGAGCATCATGTTGTTCTCCCCCTTTTCATGAGGTTGGAATAGGGAGTTACTGAGTAGCAGAAATGCTGATTTCTTTGAGCATCTGTGTGTTGTGTAGAACAGTAAGAAACGTATACCTGGATATGTATAAACATGTGTGTTCATTGAAGAGCTAATAGCTGTAAGAAACTAAACTTTGTAAACATCTTAAGTTTGATAAATTTTCGAGTTTAGATCAGCGAAGGGGCCAGACCTGAACACTTTATTACAACTGAGAAGAAAGTGAACAAATACATCAACAAGTTCTGTAAACTTAATTGCTGGGGGATAGATCAGCATTTAACTTTTGCAATATAGGCTGCACCCTGGTTTTCAGAAGCCGAATTGTAAATAGGAAAGGAATGTTACTTCCACTCTGAAAATGTCCTGATTTGGCTGAACTGAATTAGTAAATTCTGCAGTAGAATCTTCAGTGTTTCGTACTGGAAGGAAGCAGAGCCCACTCTCTGTTTCTGATGTAGCTTTTAACCCAGGCATTCTCTCCAGAGAAGGAAGCAGCAGAGCCTGTTGGCCTCAGCTCTGTGTGAACCTTGAAATGGCTGCTGTTCCTCATTCTTTAGATTTTTTTTAAAAATCTTTGATGTGGACTTTACTACTTTCTGAATTATCAATTTTTGGGCTACTTTGAGCTTGTTTAAATGTATTTATCCGTCTTTGACTACTCAGAATCCAACCTGGAGGAGCCTGGACTTTGGGTTGATGCCTGATCGTCTGGATACCTCTGTGTCTTGTTTCGTGGTGAGGATCTGGGGTGGCAAGAAGGAGCATTTCCAGCTTTTGATTGAATGGAAGGTCAATCTCGATGGCCTGAAGTACTTGGGCCAGCAGGTAATGGGAAAACAGGTTTTTCCTCAACTTTTCACTTAAGGAATCAAAGCATCTGGATGAATTCATATATAGAATGCTAAGAAAGGAAATGAATGTGTTTGAAGGATATGTTTTAAAGTTGGATTGCAGATATTCGTGTCAGTTTTACCTCAGAGCTTACCAGGGTTTAATTCATTTTTCCCCCAGGGTTTTGTGTGCCTGCAGAATTGCAGGTGATGAAAAGCTGCAATTTGTGTTTGTTTGCTGTGGAAAGCTGTAGTGAGCTGGCTGTGAACTGATTTGTTTCCTTCCCTTCCTACAGATCCATGCCAGAAACCCAAACGAGATTATTTTTGGTCTCCACGATGGTTATTACGGAGCTTCATTTGAACAGAAGGTGAGGGTGTCTTGTGTTTGTTCTGGCTTGTTGGTACTGGTGGCAAGCTGAAATTCAGCTTGTAAGCTTGATTTTTCACACTTGGATGCTCAGAACATTAAAATGCTTCGTTTTGAGAAAAAATACTTCTTTGACGTGACAGATAAGAAGTATTATCTTGCCTTGGTTTTGCAGGGCTGTCTGAGATGTCTTGAAAAGACTTAGTGTAGCATTTTAAGTCCAAAAAAAATCTCTGGTTTCTGAAAATAAGCTTTGACTGTGTTCCTTGAGGCAGACATATTGCAAATGATGTAGCTGTTAAGGCTCCTTTATGTGGCAAATAAAAAAACACATTAAATTTTGGTTATTGGTCCGAACCCTGGAGTTTGTAGCTCCTTAATGGGAAGGTGTTTATTCGCTCTGTTTCAACTGTTTCACCCCAAGTTGTTTTCCCAGAGGACTCACTATAATATTTGTGCCTGTCCAGCCAATATTGTCACTGATTATTTACCTCACTGATGATGAAAAAGTTTAAATTTGCCAGTTGTAAGCAGTACATCTGACAGAGGTTTTTTTAATCCCAGATTGCTGGAGGCAGTACTGTGGTATAGATAGTTTGTATAAGGAGTCCCTTATACAAACTGGAGGGGAAGTGCCTCCTTGACACACAACCTATGCCTATTATTTTTTTAAATTATTTTTTTAATCAGCTAGATCCTGGCACACTTAATTATTTATTTAGGTGTCATTATTTAGGTGTGACCATGTTTTTGGTGGAGGGGAGCGTCTGCTGTGTGGCCTGTGGTTAACACAGTTGTGAGGAGATGTTAACAGGTAACTGCATTTCAACACCACCTGTATGGAAGCTGCCTGTTGAGGCAGGAAGGAGTCTGCAGACAGGGATTGTGGGGCTGGAGTCCCCCTCCATCCCTGTTGGAAGGCTGGCTGATCACAGGGACAGCTGGGGCTGCCTCAAGCACTCAAATAAAGGCCTCTTTTCCTGGAATCCATAAACTTTCTGACAGTACTGCCAGGTGGTTTGATCTGTTTAGAATTCACTTCGTCATCTGAAGGAACCCTTCTGAGTTCGTGGAATTCTCTAGGAATGTGCGGGCCCGTGCCTGGCATGGAAAAGCTCTGCCCCTTGCAGCAGGAGGAATTGCTGCTGGGCTGTTCTGATTCTGATCCCCGCTGTGCAGAATTGATGCTTTGGGCTCTTAAGAATGACACTGATTTTGTAACTTCCAGAAACTTGTTCACATCACCCCAAACTAAGATGGCTTTGACCTTTCCAACGTGTCGCTCTGGCACGTTCCCGACTGGGCTCTCGTGGCTGGAGCTCTGTAAACTGCATCCTTCAGTGTTCCTGGGCAGAAGATTTGGACAGCTGTGGATTAAAAAGTGCAGGAAAAAAACCACACCCTGTGTCTAGAACACAGATAAAGTGATAGGTCTTGTACACCTTTATAGGCAAGCGGTGTTATTGCCACCTTGAGTTGTTTCATAAAATTATGAAGACATTTAAAGTACATTAAATGCCAGGTCATTTGTTCAACCAAAAGTGCATGCTTTTGGTCAAGGTGGAAAATTTTTTGGTTCTTAAATGCCTGTTGTTTCCTTGCCTTAAGGATCACTCAGGTACCCTGAAGAACAGTCTCCTCCAGGTGGATCAGAACTGTGTCCGTAACTCTTACGATGTCTTCTCTTTGCTTAGGTAAGGCTTTTGGTAACACCCTGTGTAGCTACTGTAACTTCTTGAATTTGGGTGTGGAAGGAGCCTTTCTGAATATAAAAAAAACCCTGTTCTGGTGTGGAATGTGCAAAGGAGATCCTGAGGTCAGGCCAGTTTCCTACTGGTGTCAAGGAGATGGGCCTTGGTGTCTGCACGTTCCGTGGTGGTTGCTGGGCTTCTGCCACAGGGATGTTTGAGAGCTCTGAGCAGGGGCTGGCTGTGGAGCTGGACAGGCCTTGTGGATGTCAAAATCATGGAGCTTCTCTGTTGGAAAGCTTCTGTGGAAAGCCCCTGCTCTGTCCTCCTCAACAGCATTAAAATTGATTTAAATAAATGAGAACAGACCTAATTACTCCAGCACATGTGTGGCATAAAAAAGCCTACAGTGGTTTTTTTTTTTTTTACTTTTGGGTGGTTACTTAGATGTCTCTGATTGTAAAAAAACATGAAATGCTAATAAAAACATAAGCAAGATGTCCTTTTTCAGATCTGCTTTAATTATAATAGCTTAAGAATGTTATTTATGGAGAAGTATAATGGAGGTCCACCACTGTCAGTAGGTTGAGGAATCTGTATGTAAAAGGCATTTTACAAGGCAGGTTCTGCAGGAACAGCACTAGATGTGCTGTGAAGGAAACCCTTGAAAGAGAAATGTTTAACATGCTTTCAAAAGTCCTTGGAAAAATGCAGCTGACTTTTTTTTAACCCAGGTTGAATCCATTCCATAGTGCTGACAGTAGGTGTCAGTGTTGCCTGTCTGAAGAAAGGGGTAGGAAAAGTTAACTCGAGGTTGCTTATTCGGAAGTCCTTATTTTGTAAGCTCTCTTAAAGTGTGAATGTGCTGTTCCTTGATTCTGTAAAGCATATTTAAACTGAGGGCTGCTTTCTGAGTGTCTGTTCCTGTGCTTTTAGTGGGAAACAACCTGGGGGGTGTCAGGAAGTTCTGCTTTCGTTCTGGCACAGTCCATTAGCAGAGGACTCTTGTGCCACCAAACATAAAGTCTTTGTTAAATAGAAAGAAGCAAACATGTGCAGCTCACCCTGATTGCTTTATTCACGTGTTTTTCACATTTCTGGTGCACTTCCATGGAGTATGAACATACTCCATTAAAAACAGGTTCTGGCCCAACCCTTTGCTCCTGGGAAAACTTCACAGTGAGAGTTTGTGTGGCTGATCTCTGTATCAAAACTGCTTTGGGGGGGAAGAAGTGATGGCACCGTTTCCCTCAGAAGCTAAAACTTGTGAATAGGCCTTAATGGAAAGCACGTGCTCAGCTCAAATTGTGTTGGTTTAAAAAAATTAATGAGCAATGACAGTGTGTGTGAGCAGTAGAACTTCTTTTGTCTGTTGGATCAAAGTGTGTGCTCAGGTGCTGCCTTACAGGGATTTACAAGTTAATTAAACAGGAGGAAAAGTTTAGGTGCAAAGCTCAGCTTTACACCAGCAAGTTCTGGGCACCTTTGCAGCCCAGGAACCTTCCTGTTCCAGGGCAGGGACAAGATGCTCAGGTGGACATGAGGTTGCTAATAAGTTGTTTGTGGCACGTGGAAGGGACTGATGTTCTTCCAGCCACTGGCTTTTAAAAGGGCTCACTGACAAAACCTGGAAAAGCTGAAATTCTGAGGTTTTTGTTCCTTGTCAGATTTCCTGAAGAGAGGTCACTGAAAGACTTTTTCTAAATATTATGTTGCTGGTAGTAATGGGTTGTGCAGTAACATGTTTCACCTTTCACACAGAGCTCAGGAAGGGCCAAATTCATCTGAGCTCATGTTCTGGACGTGTCTCCATAATCAAGTTCTCAGCACGTTTGCAGCACTAATGGGAATAGGTTTATATTTAGTGTTCTCTTGGTTTTCTAGCCTTTCTTTTGTTTAAGCTTTGAAAAACAGACCTTTCAGTATTAAGTGGTGTTGGGAAGATGAGATGTCACTACAGAAGGGGCTTAAAATCCTATATATTAAAATTTTGCTTCAGTTTTAAATACAAGAACTAATATAGTGTATTCTGCAGCTTTTCCTTGATGATACTTAGAGAGCAGTTGGCCTGTGCAAGTATGTGAGTGCCTGAAATCCTCCCAAATCCTGCCTGGAGACAAAAAGTGCTCTAAGGACTAGTGAAGATCTGCCCCTTTGAAGTTCAGCTTTGTATGGTTTTATCTCTGCAGTCAGAGCTGCTCTCTCTGTGGTTTAACCATCCCTTCAGCAGATGGCATGGCATGTTTGGGGGATTTACCCAGCCAGTTAGGCCAGGTTGAAAACATTTTGGTTGTATTTTTGTTCAAAAAAAATAGTGGTTTTTAACAACAACATCATCATCATCATCTGCTATTGGTGCAATTTGAGTGCTGGATGGGTAGAAGAGCAGCTCCAGGCAGCTGCTGTAATATTGCTGGAATCTAATCTGACTGAATTTGATTTAAATAATATTTCTAGGTGTTAATCTGTCACAGGGCAGGGTAGGGGTCAAGTGACAGGCCTTGCTCTGGGGTTTGCCATTTGTAATACAACTGCTCGTGTAAGGAAGAGTGTTTGTCTTATCACTGAAGAGAGATTATTTAAGAACACAAATGTAGGTATCATTTGTCTGGGGTCTGAAATGCTGATGTTCATAAAATCACCTACAAGTGAGCAAGCCTAAAACACAGGGACATGATATCAAGTCAGCTTTTGTTTAGCTCTGCTTATCTTAGGGAAGATGTTTTTAAATAGCTGTGCTGCTTGTGTTTAAATTCCTCCAACTTTATTAGAACTTTTACAAGTGAATCTCTGAAACTGGAAACGGAGACAACACACCTGGTCAGTGTAGGCAGCTGTGGTGGGGAAATGCTCGTTGGTAGCTCTGAGTAGTTTGTCTGAGACACCAGTCAGTGGGACTGTGTGTGCCAAATGCAGGAACTGCCCTCGGGCAGCTCTTCTTAACTCATGGGAAGGATGCTGGAAGTGAAGCTGCTGTTCCTGAGCTCTGAGCAGGGTCTTGGTGGGCTGAAGCTGCTCAGTGTGAGGTGTGTCTGGGGCACATGGGGCTGCTCACAGAACAGTCAGCCCTGAGCAGTGCCAGTGTCCTCCCTGGCAGCTCGGTCACACTTTGCTCTTGTGGGGTGGGTTTAAGTAGCAGTTCCAAACTTTAGGCTTCCAGCTGTTTAGTGGGGTGAAAAGGAGGGAAAGCAGGAAGAAAACTTGCTCTTATCAGCTGCTCTCTAACTTCATCTGATAACAAACCCCAGGGTGAGCCATGCAAAGCTGTACTGCCTTTGAACTTCCCTGGAGTCCTCTACACTCATCCTCATCTCCGTGGAAGAAGTGAATCCAATGGAGCTGGGCAGCATCTGGGACTACATGGAAATAGAGCTGCTTTTTGCTGCCCTGTCCCTCATGGCATTTTGGGAGATGGAGAGAGAGAAGGGGAGGCAGGAGAGAGTTAGTTAAATTTTAAAATGTGAACTGACATCTCTTGTTTTTAGCTTTTCCCTCTGGTGTCCTTTCCTCAGAGTAGGGCCCCAACTCATAGCCATGAGCAACCCCTTTCTCAGTGGTGCAGTTATCTCCTGAGGAGATGGTGTGGATGTGCCAGGAAAGGTGGTCACCAGGAGCCCGGTGCTCTTGCAGTGCCTTGCTCCAGCTGTTCCTGTATCTTGGCAATGAAATTGCTGGCTCATGTTGCAGGCTTTCAGATTTCGTGTTGCTACTGCTGCTGCCACGCCCCTGTCCCAGCCAGTGTGGAAATGCAAGTGTGGGATGGGTTGTAGGATTCCTCTCACCTGACCTGTGCTCTGAAATCACTCAGTTCCTCTGCCAGAACATTGCTCTGCTGGTGATGAGTGTGGTTGGTTCTTTGTGATGGCCAACTTCGATGTTTCTAAACAGGAAACGTTTGCACCTGCAAGACTTGGCCCTTTGTCCTGTAGGGGCAGCCAAGGCCAGGCAGGGCATCCCTTGGCTTTGGGCAGGCAAACCCAGGATGGACGAACAGGAGCTGCAGTCAGACCTCTCCAGTGTCTCTGTGCCTAATTAATTAGCTCTGAGATAGATGAACATTACTACAGGTGTCATCCCTCTTGGCCTGGAAACCTCGTGGGGTGGAACTGTGGGGTGGTGGCTTCCCGGGAAGCAGCAAAGGAGGTGGAAACCGGGATGGGAATTTTTTCTCTGAGAGGTTCCTTAGGGATTTTTACTTGTGGCATCAGGCTTTTGGACAAACATATTCCCAGGGGTTCTCCATGTGTGGTGCTGAGCTGTTTGGGAGCTGAGGCTGCTCAGTCAGCACAGGGGGCCGTTTACAAGCCTGGCTGTTGCCAGGAGCTGCAGTGGAGAGCGCCGTGGGTCACGGCCAGGGGAAACAGCCCGTGAAGTGTCAGAGAGGGGGAGTCCTTTGTGTGCTCACTGCAGGGTTCAGCCTGCTGCTGCTCTCATCTTCAGATGCCATGTGGAACAAACCACCCCTGCAGGGGCAGGGTTTTGGTGTGAACGGGGCAGGCATGTTGCCAGCTCTTGGCCAAATTTGAGTTCAGAGCACTTCTAAAAGAGAAAATACACAAAGCTGTGCAGAACTTCAAAAACAGCTTTGTTCTGCCTCTCTCTGTTTGTGACGGTGTGTAAAAGATGGTGCTAATGAAGCAAAGTTCAATTAGATGAGAAGTCAGAACACAGTCCTGCACCTTTTCCTGGCTCTGTTAGAATTGGTGAAAAACAGACCATGTCAGAGAATCATCCAACAGTTTGGGTTGGGAGAGACTTTTGAAGACCATCTTGTGCCATGGGCAGGGACACCTCCCACTGTCCCAGGTTGCTCCAAGCCCTGCCCAGCCTGGCCTTGGACACTTCCAGGGAATGCACCAATGTCTGAGGAGCTGCAGAACCCTCCTGTGAGCGTTCTGACCATCCCTGGCAGGTGGGAGATCTTTCTTCTCTGCTGCAGCTGCAGGATTCTGCTTCTCTTGGAAGTAAGTTTAGATTGGAGTTTGGGGGTGGCTTCCAGGAAAAGTGCAGCAGTTGCAGCTTTCAAACATGAGTCACCTGAACATTGGCTGGTGTTCCTCCTCCCTCCGTGGGTAAGGCCTGTGTGCTGTTGTCACAGGCACCTTCTCACTTGGGTGGCCTGTGACCGGAGGAACATAATCAAGTGGAGAGCAACTGTTTCCCTTCGTGGGTGGAGCCTGTAACCCATTCAACCTGAATTTGTGCATCTTCCTTTTCATTGTGCAGTGAACTCCAGCCTTAGTCTTGCTCACTGTCTGAGCAAGAATTGAAGCTTCTATTAAGGTTTGTTGGCCAAAGGCAGCTGGATTGTGCTGGTGTCCCTGTCCTGCTGGCAGGAGTTAGCATGATGTGTTTATGCACTTGGGAAATCTGATTTGCATCTAATTGACCTTTCTACTAAACACAGTGTCTGGAGTGTGATCTTTTCTGCTCTGGCAACAAGGTTTCTGTAATCACAAACTGAGACAGAACAAAAAGAAACTTCCTCTGTTACTTACCACGAATACATTTGTTCTTTGAGTAATAAAATCAACCCATAAATGCATCCCAGCACTGGAGTTAATCTGTGAATTGGAATAAGAGGACTAGAGACATCTCAGGTTTTGTGGCTTCACTTCTGGAAAAATTGTTTGAGCTTCCCAGTAAGACTCTTCTGTTCCCTTCATGCCCTGGGAGTATTGAAGGTGATCTGTATCCTACCTGCTTCCCTTAAATACTCCTCACCCTGCAGGCCTGGACCTGCCCTGCTGCCAATGTGATAGACGTGTTTTTTCCTTTTCTTCTCCTTTTCCAAATGGCTCAAAGCATCCACTCCTGCAGTGCACAAATCCACGTGGACTGGGTCATTCAAAAGCTTAATTGGAGTCTTGCACATGCAAGGCTCAAATGGAGACTCACATGTCAGCATAGGACTCACATGTGACTCACAGGTAAGACTCAAAACAGTTTGGGAGAATGCTGGAAAGTTATCTGTGCTGTCCTGGGTGAGTTTCTGACAGCACTGGCTCTTGGAGAGGTTTAATGTCATAAATGAGTAAGTCAGACTTGCATTTTATTCTTTTCTTACTCCCTACTGTCTTCTCTTGCCCTACATCTGCTTTTGACAAATTGTAGGTATAGGTTTCTGAGGAAATTGGAAAGGGAGTATATGATTATAAATTAGAAAAATTTTTCTTGTGGGAAAGCAGATGTAGCAAATGATGGTTTAAGGGGTTATGTAAAAAATACTTTATAGCTGGCTGGCACTCTCCACAATCCAATTTCTGGGTTGATATTAAGTAGTGTGCATTCCAGGTTTTGTATTTAATGGGAAGGCCTTAGCTTATTTTTTCTTTAATAATAGGTTTGGGTACTTTACTTCCAGGATCCTACATCTCACTTCTTGCCAGGATTGTTCCATTCTATTTTCTAAATCCCTGGTAGTAATTCTCAGTTTAAATTTAGTCTCGCTGTAAACTAAGGTTGTTCTGGCAAATAAGACCAGAGGCATTTATTTCTCTTGTGAGAAGTAGCTGTAGTATGTGACTGCTGTAATTAATTGATGTATTTATGGCTTAAGGGTCCTGTACATGAAAAATCCAGATGTGGCTGATAGAAGCAAATAGATATTTGGAATGGATGATAGAACTGCAAAATCATGTATCAAATGTCTAATAAAGCCGAGGCTCTTTCATTAATGTAAATACAAGCATATGTGAGCTTAATAGGCACAAGTCTCACTGCACTCCAGCTTTCAGGTTGTTACAGATTGCAGCCAGCAAGGAACTTGCTCTGTAAACCAGTAAATCACTGCTAATGCACGACCAGGAGGGACCAGGACACTGCAGCCTGTCTGAAAGGGCTTCAGCCGAACCTTCCAACTTAGTGCAGGCTGAAAGACAGTAAATGTGTTGTTACAGCACATTCCTGGGTTGTACAGTCAGGTTCTGTTGGGCCAGTGCACTGTGCAGGCCTGCAGGTCAGGAAAACTGACTGATCTTCTTGATTCTTGTGGCAAAAAAATCCTGTCATGGGAAGAAGTCTAAAACTTGCCCTCCAGGGCAGTACCCAAATTGAACTGACTGGCAGAATGTTGTATGGTGGAATTGTTTCAGATCTTCCAGCCAAGGGAGAAAGGGGCCTGTGGGCATAGATATTTTTTTTATTTTATTTTATGGGGAAGCAGGGAAGCAATTGGATGTCAAGACTCGAAAAGCCTTGAAGAAAGAACCCAAATAGCCTGTATTTCAGGAACTTGAGCTCTAGCAAGTGAAGAGGAGAGATGTTGAAGTTATGCCTGGTGCTTTTTCCTAGACCAAGTAGGGATGCAGCTTTTGTTGGGCTCAGCTTACAGTGTGGCTTATGTTTTTAATCTGTCTCACTGTCTCCTAGACTTCCAAAGGAAGGGAGGGTGTTTTGTTTCCTCTCCCTTTCCCCCATCTCAGAGAGCAGGTGATATGAGGCTGGAAGTGGAGCAGCAGCCCCGTGGATCCCCACCTCGGGTCCATCCGAGGGCTCAGGAATTTTAATGTCCGCTCTGCTTTCCGGTTTTTCCCAGGCAGCAGCGTGGAACTGGCTGAGGTTGGACAACTGCACAGCAGCTCTGGGGGCCCTAGGCAGTAAATCTGTCCCACTTCCCCTTCCAGTTGCTGTGCTGCTGGCTGACAATGGCTGGGAGCTCTGCAGACACGGGCTGACGACACTGTTGGCTGAACCATCCCTTCAGAAGGGCTGGAGTTTCTGCTGGAGCTGCCTTGGCTCTCCCAGCCCCAGAGGAAATTTGGTAGCAGGCCAGTGGCCTCTTGAAGCCCTCAATTAGCTTCTTAAGTGCTGTGGATGTGGTAATTTTAATAAAATATATTGAAAAATGAAGTCTTGAACAACGTAGGAAGAATCCTGCCTTGGCTGATAGCACGTGGGTTGTTCCATCCGTGGGCTCAACCTTGGCACTTCCTAAGCCAGGCTGGGCTGTGCTCAAAGCACAGCTTGGGCTGACTTTAGGCTGGAGCACTGGCCCTGCATTCAGCCTAGAAATGGGAACAAGGTGCAGTCAATTTGGGTTGGAGTTTCTCTCCATTCGTTCTCTATAAATTTTAATCCAGATTTATGGTGTCAGCTTGCTGATCTCCATCCACTGCTGCAATCATAATTGCTTCCACCAAGGGCTGTCTTGTGCATGCAGAAATGATGGGCAAAATTTCCATGCTGGCATTCCTATGGCTTAGTTTGTATTCCCCTCGTGGGATGACCTCAGATTTCCATGTGGGGACTGTTTTTGGCTGGGAAAGGGAGATTTCTGTTCATAGTTGCTGCTTTTGTGACATGGAGTCCCTAAAATTTTAATCTCGGAAGACTTTAACTTTGGATGCGGTCGTGTTCCTCCTGTTACCATTTGAAAGTTCTTGGAACAGCAGTGAACATCCTGGGATTGAGTCAGGCAGTGTCAGAAAATGCTCTGCCTTGCAGTGGAAATGGCACTGTTTGGCATCAAGGCAGCCAAGTTTCACTGCTGGGGTTTTACAGTGCAAGAAATGGCTGGATGATGTTTGGCTTAAAAAGAAATCCAGTTCTTATTAAAAACAGACTTGATTGCAGAGCAGTTTTTGTAGGTTGGGGTATATCTTTAGATGTCAATTCACCCAGCTGAACCAGTATTCCACAATATGGATTGTTTTGAGGAGTCAGCCTGAATGGATGTTTGTTCCTTATACTTGGGCAAGGGGAGAAGAACTTAGTTATTAACAACCTACGAATTTTGTAGTGAGAATTGATCACATGGCAAATGACCTTCCTAACAATTTATCAGTTACCTAAATCACAGGATACTGGGAGCTGAAACACTCTTTCAGTGAGTGAAACACCTCCCAGCAGTCAGGATTTGCTGCCTCAGTGTCGGGATGTGAAAACTTGTAAAACTTTCTCTTAATCACGTGACGGACTAAATGGAGAAAGTTCTCCCAGTGTAAAATGAGATGGAGAGGAAAGGCAAGTGTCACTCAGTTATTACTCTTTGCCTAAAAGTTTTAGCTTTGGGTAAGGCTTTCTTGGTAAGAAAACCTTCCAGACTTTTGGGAAGTGTGGGATAGAAGCCTCAGCCCCTGGTGCAGGACGTGCCACAGCTGTAACTTCTCTTCTCCCTGCAGGCTCCACAGAGCCCAGTGTGCAATCAAACAGACTCAGGTAACTGTGCAGAGGATAGGGAGGGAGATTGAAGAGAAGCTGAGATGTACATCCACACGGAACGAGCTGGTACGTTGGATTCATTACAACCTCCTTTCGTGGGCTCGCTGAAGCGTCTGGCTGATGTCTTCATCCTAAGCTCGGCTTTTTTTAACACTTGAACTTAAAATCTTTCTTCAGACCTGTCATTTCAAATGGGAACTCACCTGAGGGCTGTGTGATGTAACGACTGTGAGTTGTGTGTGGTGCTCAGCTGGATTGAGAGACTGCTTAGCCTATTTTTACCTTTTTTCTTATATGCTATAAAAGCATAAACATTGCACAGTGCACGGAAGAGGCTTTTCAGGAAAAACAAACTTGTAATGATTTAGATCAATCTTGACAGCAACCTGTGGTGGATTCAGGGTGAGGTGAGTCTACTGGCTGTACCTTGCTGCACCCCAACTCCCTTTGGATGAACAGAATTCCTGCCAAAGCTGTCAGTCAAGTGACATGCTCGTTTTAAGCAGGAATTGTACTGGATCTTGCAATAGCTTTTGACAGTTTGTTTTGCCTGCCCTCTTCCCCTCTCCAGAAGAGTCTGTTGGCACTGGTTTCTGCTTTCTGCCCAGCAAAGCTGGGCTCAGCTCAGAGCAGTGGGTTTGACAGAAAAGAGGTGGCCCGTGGTGACTTCCTTGCACTGGTGCTCACTGGCACATGTCCGTGTGTGGGACACGGATGAGTTGCTCTCCTTCCAAAGCAGAAAACCATCAGAGGCTTTGGGAATCTGTTGCCTGTGGTAATCTGTGAACTCAACCTTTAGTCTGGCAGGCACTAATCTTGTCCTGTTTATTCCTTCCCTCCTATACCCTTTTTCGTGGAACTGCTTCCCTGCTGAAAAACTTGCCTTCTTTTTTTTTTTGAATCTGTGTTTCTCCCAACAGAAGAAGGAGAGTGAATGTTTACAGCTGAAGATCCTGGTGCTACGTAATGAACTGGAGAGGCAGAAGAAGGCCCTTGGTCAAGAAGTAGCCTTGTTGCACAAGCAAAAAAGTAGTTTGAGTGACAGAGGTAAGTGTAGGAACCCTGAGCCTGGTTTATGGGCATGGTGCCCAAAATGGCATGGTTTCTCTTTCAGTTTTGTTTATTGTCTGGCTCTCACATGCTGTGTTTTTTCTTTGTCTGAAATCTGCAGGCAGGTATAATTTCTTCACCATCTGTGTTACACTGAGTTTTGGGCAGCAGTTTGTGGTGTCTTGTCTCTGAATAACTTTTTACTGTGACACCTCTCTAATGTAATCTTTAATCCGTGCTTAATTAACATTTTAGGAGAAAATCAGAAGGGCTGCACTGTAATACAGTAAACAGTGGCTTTGTAACCTCAGGGGGAAAGTTACTGTTCCTGTGATTAGGATTCCAGTTCAAGTGTTAGGAGAAAAAAATCCCTCTTAATAGCCTGCTATGTAAGTGAAAGGTGAAATGCTCAGTCATCCTGGTATTTTCCTGTACTGGGAAGGTGTCCTGCAGTAAAATGCTGCATCACTGCCCCTTTGGAGCTCACCAAGGCCAGGCTACACAAATGCTTGATCTCGTTGCAGGATTTCTTTTTGGTTTTTAGAGCCTATTTGAGTCTCAAGTGATGAGTCACTACTAAAATGAGTTTTTTGCCATGTACTTCATCCTGGCTGTGCAAGGGTTGGGGTACCATAATTCATTCCTGCCCTGCTTGGCCATGAGGGGAACAGGTATGAAAGGCAGCTGAAGTTTGGTTGTGTTTGGATGGTGAGTGGGTGCCTGGAGATCCCACTGTGCTGGCATTCCCTACTTTGGGAGCAAAACATGGAAAATGGGAAGAGTCAGTGGAGGATTATTGCCAGCATTTGTGTCAGTATCTACTTTTAAAACTTCTGCTAACTAAGAAAATACCTGATACTGTTTTTTTTTCCCTGATTCCTCTTGTTTAGAAAATGCATTTGGGACTGAATATGAGAAACTTGGAGAGCACAACGAATCCCTGTGTGAATTAAGGAAGGAATGCACTGCCAAGAGGTAAAAGGGCCTCTGCTTGTTCTGCAGTTGGAAAAGAAACACAAACTTGAGAGTAGGCCATTGGAAATGGGACTTCTGGCACCAAATCCTTCCTCCCGTGGCCCCAAAACTTCTGTTAAAACATCTCTGCTACAACTTGCAGATATCTAAAGGGAGGATTACCAGTGGCAAGTCTAGAAGAGAAGAAAACAAGATACTTGGTTGCCTGTGTGGGCTCTGATGGGACTTTTAGGTCTGTTTTAGTGTAACAGCTCTGTAATACCTAATTCTCAGTCAAAAAACCTCTGAAACGTGAGGAACGTGTGAAAACAACAACTTCTGCCTGCTGTGGGGCTGTTTTGGGTGGAGTTACCCAGCTTTTGGGGAGGGCAGGGGATACCTGGGGAGCTGCAGGAGGGAGCCTTATTTAAGGCTTTTGAGGGAACTAATGAGTTGGGGATCTCTTTCCCCCAGAGAACAGCTTTTGAAGACAAATGCCCAGCAGACTATTCGATGCAAGCAGCTGCTGTCAGAGCTGTCCTACATCTACCCCATTGATCTGGTATGTGTGCAGCAGCCTAAAAATCTGCCTGAGCTGAAATGAACTCCCTGTTTAGAACAGTGCAAGCAAATATCCTCTTTTATTCATGATGAAATTTGCTCTTTGCTCATCCTGTTTATCCCAGCTTCTTCTTACATTTGGTCCTTGGATTGCAAACTTCCCAGGGAGGGGTCTCCACTGAAATGGTAGAATAGCTGTAACTCTAATTTAATGGATATTTGCCACGTTGTTTACAGTGGTGTAAAGTAACCCTGACAGGAGGTGAGCTGAACTCTAACAGAGTGCACAGAAACAGATGTCAAAATGTTGAGCTCCAAAACCTTTTATATAATGATTTAAAATGAAGCTCTTCCTTCTTTAAAAAAGTTGCACATATTTTCTGAGTTTAGTGAAATGTGGATTAAAATACTGTGTCAAAGTCACTCTGAGTTTAAGTGGATATTTAGGTTTTGATTTTGATTTTTTTTTTCCCATAGCTTTGTTGTCATTGGATTTTATGCAGGTTTTGGTTTTCTGGATGTTATTGTTCCATTCTCACTTTCCACTGTTGATTTTTAAACTTACAGAATGATCAAAAGGATTACTTTGTTTGTGGAGTCAAGCTTCCTAATTCTGAAGACTTTCAAGGTAGCTGAATATTCTTAATGTAGCTGTTACAGTTGACACTGCTTCTAAATTTCATGGAATTAAGTAAACTGATAATAATGGCTTGGGATCCAAATTTTTGACCAGAAAGATCTAGACTAAAAAAAAAACCTTAGGAATTATTTATCCCTGCTGCCTTGCTACTGCAAAGGAGGTTTCTGTTGGCTCTTGGAAAAGCACCTCTGTGTTCTGAGGCTCCAAACCTGGAGTTACCCAGAGGGGCTGTGGAGTCTCCCTCCTTGGGGATGCTCAGAGCCCAGCTGGACACAGCCCTGGGCAACCTGCTGCTCCCTGCCCCTTCCCAGAGGTGCCTCCCAAACCCAGGGATTCTGCAGAGTGTTTGAGTCTGACCTAAAATTCCTCCGGGGCCACTTCTAGTCCATCAGTCTTGCTGGGGCAGCAGGCAGGAATCCCCGTTGGGTTTGCTGGAGCTGCTGGTGAGATTCTGGGATAAATACCTCCCCAAAAGGAGCCTGTAAACCTCTGTGACAGTATGGAGTGCTTTACAAGTCAGCTGCTGCTTTAACTGTCGACCCTCATCCTCTTGCAGAGGCCAATATTTCATGTGCCTGTGTGCATAGCAGTTGTACAGGTAACTGCATGCACTCAGCTGCACGTGTTTGGTGTGACTGGAGCTGCAGGAAAAAGCCCTGGAGAACTTCCCAGTGTTTGCTCACTCTGGTTTCTTGAGTAAAAACCTCCATCTGTTGTCTAACTCTTTAAAGCCATCCCACAGTAACTAACTTGTACTGACAATATGTATATCAGATGCAGAATAGTGGAGGAGTAATCTTTAAAACAAATTAATTTGTCAGCAGGACAAAACCCAGTCTGTTTCTTTGTTTTCCTGATTGCACTGAGTGTTGTAATGAATCAGTTGGGTAATTCTTGAGGAATCACTGGTGTGCATCTTCTGGCCCATTTTCAGTTTCCTGGTATTAATTCCTTACAAAAGAATTACTAATGCTTTATCCAAGGCTCTAGAAATACTGTATTGTGATGAAGAAGTACTAAGCATTCAGCTTATTGAAACATGCAGTTAAATTTGAAACCTGGCATGGATCTTATCTCACTCAGTAGGTAATATTTTTTTTTAAAAATTAGGCATCTGAAGGATCAAAAAAAAAATTGGTTCCCTAAAAAGCCAGTCGTGCTGCTGGTCCTCTTTGGTTGACTTCACGGGATTCCCTTGTGCATCAGGAGGGGTGACTCTCGTGCTGTTCGTATCCCCTACAAAGAATTAAAATCAGAGAAAAGGAAAATGAAAAGCCCTGATGTGGCTAAAGGATGTCATTTGAGTCACCAGACCCGGGTGTATTCCCAGCAGGTGAAGCTCCAAGGTTGAAACCTGAAATGTCAGATTAAAAAGGATACTTTCAACCAAGGGGTTAACCCAAGTTTTTGCAGTTGCTGGCTTGGAGCAGAGCTCCTGCCCTGGGGAGGGTGTCTCTCCAAGTGACCTCACTGGTGGCTGGAGCTGTGCAGCAGCGCAGCCTTCCCCTGACCCTGGCAGTCCACCCACACAAATGCACAAAGCTTAAGGCTTGACTTTTGTCTTGGGAACCTTGTTCCACTTTTCCCATCTTTCCTTGGCCCTCCCCCAGCCAGGCAGTTCAGCTGTGGACGTGTAAAACTGGCAGGAGAATGAGCCACGACCAGCTTTCCATGAGAGCCAAACACAGGGAGTGCAAAGCTCTCCAAAGTGACTTAAGTGTTCCTAAGTTCTGGTTTCTGAGGGCTGTGTTAACTGTGGTGCTCTCTGAGCAGCAGGGCTGAGCACCAGCATTCCCTGGATCCAACAGTGGAATCTCTTTGTCCTTGCAGCCAAGGATGACGGGAGCATCGCCGTTGCCCTGGGCTACACTGCTCACCTGGTTTCCATGATCTCCTTCTTCCTGCAAGTGCCACTCAGGTATCCCATCATCCACAAGGGCTCCCGCTCCACCATCAAAGACAACATCAACGACAAGCTCACCGAGAAGGAGCGAGAGTGAGTATGTTGGGAAGGCACTTCCCTCACAACAAAAAATCACCACCAAAAAAACCCCCCGCCCTGAACAGGTTTGGGTGCTCTGAAGTGACACACAATTTGCCTCTCCTTGAAAACAACAAATCAGCACTGAAAAAACCCTCACCTTGAACAGTTCTGGGTCCTCTGAAGTGACAGGGAATTTGAAGGCACTGTTTCCAGTAGTCATTGGAGTTTCTCGTGTTGGAATTCTGGGAATTCAGCTTTGTTGTTCTCGTTCTGTTGGCACACACACGCCTCTGATTTGGCTTCCAGTAATGCTAGAAAAACTTAAATAGTGTTTCTTAAAGGTGAGTTTTGGCTGCTGGTTGGAAGAATTGCCCTTTGTGTTTTGCTACTGGCTGTGGGAATAAACTGCAGATGGCAAGTGCAGCCTCACTGGGAGCTACTGCCAGTGCTGGGCTGGGGACAGAGAAACGAGAGGAAACAAATTTTCTCTATCACAGAGGGGTTTAATCCATTGAAAAAGAGCACAGTAAACTGCCACCTACTGTAAATCAGCTTAATGTTCAGTAAAGAGCTTTTTGTTTGTTCTGTAATCGTTGTCTTTCAGCATAAGAATCCAGATCAGGATGGAAGGGTTTTATTGTGCCTAACTGACAGGATGGGGATGCTTGGAAGGGTCTGATTCCTCTTTGCAGCTTAGTGACTTTGGGCAGGACAGACAAGGTAGTTTGCCCTAAGAGTTGGAATCACTCAGGTCTTCTTGTTTTGACACAATAAAATACAAGTACATAATGATGTCTTGCAGAGTAGTTTGGATGCCATTTTAATAACTTGTCCAAACACTTCCTGGGTGACTTAACAGAACATTAACTTGTTTTGGTTCAGTGTAGGTCTTGAAGCATATGGTCATATCCTTCCTGAGCATCACTTGAAGGAGGATTGCAAACTAGAACATTTATATCTGCAAAACAAATTTCTGAGGAGTAGAGCTGCCTGTGTGTGGGTGTGTAAAGATTAACCCAATTTCCTGTTGTCTGAGACAGATTGGAGGGTTTAGTCCTTCAGGCTACAGCCTTCCAAACCCTCATGACTTAATCCTTGATTTCACAATAGATTTGTGGAAAGGAGAAAGTTTAGCTAAGAGTATGAATCCCTGTTGGGCCATTTACCTGTGTTCTGCAAGATTTTTTCAGGATTAGCTCCTGCCTGAGAATCTTCTCTTCCCAGCTATTGGAGAGACAATCCCACCAACTCTCAAAGGACTTTGGTTACTACAGAAAACCTCAAATGTCATAAATTTGCAGTTTTCTTTCTAAACTAATGGTTCATGTTTCTCCCTTGCTCCTGACTGCACTGAGCACAGCAATTAACATGCATTATTAAATTTCTTTATTTCAGTCACCTGTCCTTTAGCAGCTTTTCAAACTCCAACATAAACTGTTGAGTAATTGCAGTGAGGTAATCCCTATATTTAATCTTTATTATAACACATACATCCTGATTACTGACTATGTTAAACATTTTACTTGACTTTGTAGTTCTTTTTTTTTTGATGGCAGAGTTGCCCCAAGATCCTTATTAGGAGCTTCCAGAAGTTGTGTTTTGGGGGGAATAGCTGAGTTTTTCACTCCAGAGCAAATTAATAAGTAAATGTGTGTATTTTTAACGTTATAATGTATAAAGATTTTACTACACTTCCAAGTTTCTTTTCTCAGTGCTCTGGTCTGGTTGGCAAGGGGGTGTTGGGTCATAGCTTGGACTCCATGATCTTGGAGGTCTTTTCCAACCTTAATGATTCTGTGATTCCTGAGGGTGGAATGAGGTGTGGAATGACTGCCATGCAGTGTATGGTCAGCCCTGTAGTCATAGGGATATCAGCTTTTAGAATCCATTCAGTAAGTGTGTTCCTCTTTATTCAAAACATAGTTTTGGTACTACTAAAACACCAGGTTTTCTTCATGGGAAGGCTTGTCCAGCCCTGGCACAGCTGCCCAGGGCAGTCCCCATCCCTGGAGGGATTTAACAGCCCTGTGGATGTGGCACTTGTGGGGACATGGCTCAGTGCTGGGGAATGGTTGGGTTTGGGTCATTCTTAAAGATCTACCAACCTACATGATTCTATGGACATATAACTCCCAGATTTAAGCTCCCTGGGACAGCAGCTTGTTCCTCTGTGCAGTGACAAGCAGCATGTTTGCAGAATAAACCACCTCAGTTCCTTGGCTCTGCTCTGGTGCAACTGAAACCTAACACTTCATCACATTCTCATCAGCAGCGTGAGAATGCTGGGATTAAACTCTTTCTGATGTGCCCTGACACTGTGTCTGTCGAGCCCTGCATTTCATGCTTCTGTTAGTCTGCTCCCAGAGTTTTGAATGCAGAGTAGCTTCCAGCTCAGGGCAAAATAAGGATTGTTATGTCTGGAGTGGGACATAGGCTGTGAAACTCCCTGTGTTGGTGTTGCTCCTCATGTCGTAGTATTTTGTAATATAAACAGTTTGGAAATATATATACCCCTCTAAGAAAAATAATGGGGTTTCTGGAGTTTAATCACCTTTCTAGTACCCTATGTGTGTCTGGACAGGTGAAATGCACATTCAGAGCAATTATTGCTGTTGGACTTTTGCAGTGTCGCTCACACTGTGTCTTTTAAAAGATTTTCAACAACTCTTACTTCCCTGCTAGGTGAGTTGGAAACAAGAAGGGCTTCAAGAAACAGTTCTGCTAACAGGGTAAGCCCCCAGGGTTGGAGGTGCTTCAGCAGTGCCCAGCACAGGGCATGGGCACTGCCCTGCTCCTGCTGGTCAGGAAAGCTTGCATTGTGTTGTGTGTGCTTCACAGGGTTAAATCATGTGCTGGGAGTTTCTGACAGTGGAAGTTCTGATGTGAAAAGTTTCTTCTCAGGCTCTCTGAATAAAACCAACGTGGGATTCCTTGCCAGTTCTGCCCCCAAACTGCTTCCAAATTACCTTCCTCAGTGTGTTGTCACACCTCAAAGAACTGGAAGACAAGCTGTATTTGCAAATAGGTGTTGCTGAACCAGCCTGTGGATAATGTTGGAGCATTTGGAACCCACTTGTGGAATGAGCAACAGTCTGTAGGTGACCCTCACTGCTGGGGCCTCTCTCCAGCTTGGAAGAACAGGAAAATCAGTGTCTCAATGTTAACAGGCTTGGTCCAGCAGCACTGAGGGGGTTCCTGCTCTGTGCCTGGGAACAGATGAGCCACTTGCAACAAAGCAACCTGGAAAAGGGGGACACCAGCAAGTGAAGGGTAGCTTTTCACTGACATGAACGTTCCCCAGCTCAGTGGAGAAGTCTTTAATCATATTTGGGGCTTCGGCTGAGATAATGAAATGGCAGCTTTGGGGAGAAATCTTGGCAAACTTAAATCAGATGGAGGGAGATGTTTGGTTGAGAAATCCAATAGCTGTCAAAGCAGAGCTGAATCTTTGGGGTAGATGGAGTGTGTGTTAAGTGTGCAGCTATATTGCTCAAAGAATGCTTTCTGCCATGAACTTCTCTTGAACTGTATTTTTACATTCTACATTCTTGAGGATATTTAGCTCGAATCCTGGCTTATTTTATTCTTGATTACCAAAATAATGCTCGTGCCTTCAGTGGGTCAGCAAATATTGCAGTGCATAGATTAAGAATTAGATCAGGTGTTCTTTAATAAATTTAGGTCCTGTTAACACTCTTTCTGGGAACTGGAAGTTTTTACACGCTCCTGGCCAGGCTGAGAGAGCAGATTTTTGTTTACTGCAGTGGATGAGACCACTGACCCCAGACATCTCCAGCTGAGAAATGTTTCTGTGAAGACATACTAGGCTTAATTTGCTCCCATTGGAACACTATACTCCTGATGAGATTCTTTTTCAAAACATGACTTCATTGTTTCAAATAAGCAGGGACTTGCCCTGTGTAAAGTGTCCTCCAGTTAAAAATGATCCTCCAGTGGCAGGAGATTTACAGTTCTGATAGCAAGGTTTGTGCTCTGCCCTTCCAGTCAGCCCCTGTGCTGTGGCATCCATCATGGCTTGGATGGTGCAAGCCTGGAATCCAAGCTGAAATCTGTCACAAAATGCCCAATTAACAAAAAGCCATCGGTGTCAGTGGCTCCTTGGGTTCCTCTCTGTGCTTGGGGCTCTTTGAAAGCGTTATTGCTGAAGCAGTGGAACGATTCCCTCTTGTATAAACTGGTGACTGTTATCAGGAGCTGCCTGACTTTCAGAATCTGGGTCTTTGCTTTTGTATTTTCTCCCTCCAGTCTGCCCACACTGAAGCTGCTGTGCATTGTCCAAGAGCAAGGGCACAGCAGTTACACTTACCACAGAGAGATGCTCCTGCTTTTCCATTATCACCACCTTAGCTATTCACACAGGCATTTTGAAAATACACTGCAGAAAGTCACACTGCTGATGTTTTCCTTTCCCACTAAACTAATTATCTCTGTGTTGTGCAAAGCTTGAAGGAGGATGTGCTTTTCCCCCTTGGCAGTCTGTACTTTTGTCATCAAGTTTGTTTTACAAGCGTAGCTTTTCCTCTCAAGTAGGAACTCAAACCCATATAGTAATCCAGTCTGAATTCCCTTGGGATTTGGGATTCATATTCATGCCTTAATCTCCAACAAGTAAAGTGCACACTTGTCATCCTCTTTCCTGCCTTTTCATTTAATTTTGGGTCTTCTGCTGCAGATCTGTGCCAGTCTCTGCTCTGAAGGTGACAGAGCTGTGGTGCAGCTTTTCTGAGAAGGAAACAGGTTTTAAAGCTGTGCAGCCAAAGCTCCTTGTGCCCTGTCCTTTAGGTGGGATGCTAAGAGGTTGGAAGTGCTGGGATTTTGGTGCCTGTGGCTTTTGAGCAGCCTACTTTTCCTAATATTTGATTTGAAGTGTCCTGGGGAATCCTGGTTTCAAGTGCTGGCTGGACAGTGGTGGTCATCCTCACTTAAAAGGGTTTGCTTTCTTCTGGTTCAGAGAAGTCCCAGCACTTTTAAACAACAAAGTTTGCTCTCCTGGATCCAACATTCCCTTGGAGTGAGCAAGCAGGATGTGGTTGGGTTGGGGGGAAAACCCTCCTTCCTCCCTTGCAGACCCCCAAAAGGGGGTGAGGGTGAAAGAACTCAGGAAATATTTAAACCTTTTTCTTGTACACTCCTCATACTTCAGGCATATCAAGCAAGAACTTGTGACTTTTTCAGGTCATTATCTTATCTGGATTGGGCTGTTTGGTTCTATCCTTGTATAGAGTGTCCCATCAGTAGATTTAAGCTTGAGACTCATCATTTTCTTAACTGCCCCATATTTTGTAGTGTTGTGTGAGGCACAGTTGTTCCCTGGATCTGATGGATGGCTCTGTTATCACACCAGTGTCTTACAGACACACAAATTACATCAGTTCTTTATCTGTATAATAGTGAATAATTGGGTTTCAGCTGCATCCTGCCAAGTCTGCTCCACAGCCATCTCCCTGCAGCCATCCTGCTCACTGTCCTGGGAAATGAGAAGTGAAGGAAAAAGCCAGGTTGAGTTTGTTCTCTGACAAATTTGGTGCAGTTGGCCAGGAAGTGTCAGATACTGTAAATACAGCGATGTCAAAATACAGTGGGGCTGGTTTTATTTAGTCTTGGGACTAAGATTCCAGTCTCTAAGGTCCCTTCCTACCCAAGCCCTTCTATGAGAATTAAGTGTTCCTAGGGCATAACTGTCCTTGCTGTTAGTTTGACTTGCAAAGCTACAAATACTCCTGGTCCTTGGAGTTCTGCATGATTTTGGAAATTAAGGCTTCATAGCACAGTTCTAGACTAGATTTCACTCACATTTGCCAAGTGGGATGTAAGGTGCTATTGAAATTGTGCCACACTTCAGCCCGTGGAGGACAGTCAGATGTGAGGTGTAAAAATCATTATTCTACCCACTTCTTCTCTTCAGAGCTTTCTGAAGTAGAGATTGAACTTTAATATAATTTGGGCAGAAGTCTGAACAGAAGGGAGAATAAAAGATCTAAAACACATGGTGTGATACCAAAGTAGAAGCAGGTGAAGGCAGTTGAAGATGAAGCAATTTCTTAAGCTTTAAAAATAGTTTGTATTAAAGACAGGCTGTTACAGACAATAAAAATGGGCCACCAGTATATTGGTACATATGTGATAGTTCTGGATGCAGAGGAGTTCATAAATCACAGGACACAACAGCAAATGTACCCGGACTTGAATTCATGGGAGATGCTTGAGGTTTGAAGTAAATGTATGGAATAAGGATTCTTTCATCTTTCCCTCACAGTTCCCGTGTGCCTGAACCAAGAATCCTGGGATTCTCTTGCATGTTCATCAGACACTGAAGAGATTCTGTAAAACAGCTAAAGATGAGCTGAGGATCTGAAATTAGAGGAGCTCTTGAGGGCTCAGAAGTACTTGTGTAAGGCCAGCTGAGAAAGGTGGGACAGTGCAGAGGAGTTTTCAGTGGTTAGAGTAGAATATTCAGCACAATTTCTCTGAGTTGTAAGAGAGATCTAATGCTTAAACCACCACCACAATCAGGCTGGTTTGAGCTCTGAACCAGGCCTGTGGTTTTCCAGAATCAATTTCTGCAGGCAGCTTGAAAAGATCTTTTTTCTCTAATCAGTTTTCTGGTTTTTAGATACCCCAGTATTAGTGAGCAGTGGAGACACTTTAGTAGCAAATTGTTGCCTGGGCTGTCTTATCAAAACCAGGGGTTTAATCCATATATTTAAAAGGCAGTAAGATATGGGTTACAACTCTTTGTTAAGGAGTAACTGATATTCTTTATGAATCACTATTAAAATTACTCCTGCTGTCTGCCCTGCTCTTTATAGACAGATCATCTGCTCAGGGTGTATTAGGGCTGTGTTTTAAGGAGTCTAAGTGCCGTTGCAATGTTGTATTCTATAGTTGTGAGTAAATATCACCATATTTTTCCAAGGGCACAGGTTGAACCTGGCTGAGCAGAAGCTGTTTAGTTCAAAATTGCTGCCTGCTCACGTGGCAGGGGATGGTCTCCTGCAGTGATAAGTGCTCCTCTGAGGAGGACCAGAGGTTGACTCAGAACAGAATTCCTGTTACTTGACAGCTTCTCTCAGATGATCTTTTCTGGTGGTCACACAGCAGGTCCCTGTGGCTTGTGTTTTTTCTTCTTCCCCCTTGGAATTTGCCATCTCAGAGTAGGTGTCTGTGTTCTGCTTTAAAGGAGCTTCAATGATTTCTTTTCCCCCCCCCAAACATACCAGCAAGAGTGGAAGAAAGGAAGGTGCACTTTGGAGCAGAGTGGGCAGGCAGAGGCCATTTTGCAGTTTATTACGCGTTTTGTGATTATAAAAGTACTGAAATAGTAGTTTTCAAAAGTATTTAGGATAACTAAAACCTTGCAGAGCAGACTTAGCTTTCTGCAGCATGCCAGAGGGAGGGGTTGAGCTCCCTGTCCTGCTTTTCTGTGGAGCAGGCAAGAAGGATTGGATGTGGGGAGCCAGCAGTTGGAGTTGTGTTCGATTACAGTCAGCGAAGCGCTGTGTGAAATGTTGGGGTTCCTCTCCCTCGAGTTCACTGCTTGTGACCAGGCTTAATGGGCAAGCAAGATAACACCCAGAGAGAGACAGAACAGTTGGGGATCTTTGTCTCTGGAGTCCTGAATGTGCACAGCCAGAGACAGCACTGACAGTTCTCCAGACTGGCCTGTCAGTGATTATGCTGGGAAGGCTGACCCGGGATGTGTGTGGTTTTAAAAGCTTTCCAGATTAATTAGTGCAAGTTAGAGGGGAGAAATGTGAATATTGGCAAAGAAGCAGGAGCAGTGTGATAAACAGAAAAGCCTATTTTTTCCCTGTGTGTGGGAGATGGTAGCATCATAAACCAGTTTTTATCCTCTTTTCTATACGGATTGAAGAGCTCTGTGTCTAATAATAGAATACATGGTTCCCATTACCAGTGACTTCATGAAATACTACCTTGGAGTGAAACATGGCTTGTGTTCCTAATGGTGCTTTTATTGTCAAACTTGGGTTGGTTTTAGGCTGTTAATTGTAAAGGTATCCTTTAAATGTAACCCCTGCTCTGCCCGGGCAGTGTAACTGGAGAGATGGAGATGAATTCCTTTTGCTTTGTGTTTTACACTTAGAATGGAATTTTTGTAGCATGTGTTCATTTGGAAAGGTTTCATTTTCTTGCATGGGGAACTAGTTGGATTTATAGATCTATTAAGCAAGGTGAGTTAGATATACACTATTCACAGGGATTTTTATATTCCTCAACTTGAAGTGACCCAGCGAGTTTGAAAGCAGCATAAAACCTGGAGCTGACATCTCAATATTTGATCTGCTGTGATCGTGCCCTGCTGACCTTTAGCTTTAATGGCACTATATAATTCTTAAAAGTTGCAAATGCACTCTACTGTGGGGCTGATGGATGATAAAATCCACTTTGCCTAATCACCTCTCCAGAATGTGTGTTGTTTCTAGTAGATACTGATCTTCTGTATCTTATATTTGAGGGAGCCTTTGGTTTCTGCCTTAATGTGGGGTTTTCTGCAGATAATACACTCAGCATCTTGATTAGGAGCTGCAGGACATGTGGCTCTTGAGAAGGCAGGAGCTCCTTTCATGGTGGAGTTCCCATAAACGTGGATTTCAGATTGTACCGAGATTGCTGAACTGCCCAGGGTGACCTCAAACCTCTGCTGCTGAGGAGGAGTTAAAAGCCATCCCTCAGAACTGCAGTGTACAGCCACGAAAGCTGTCCAGGAGAACTGCTGCACTCGAGCTGAGAGCTCTGGGACAGATGTCTAAAATGGTATTTTTGAATGCAGACGCTGTCAAAGGGTTTCAGTGCTTTAGGGGCTGAACTTTAGTTCTCCCCCCTCACACAGCAGGGGAGGTGGTGCTGTGCTGTTGCACAAGCTCTTTGTGACATTTCAGTGGTGAGCAATATTGATTAAAGAGGAAAAGTAAACATCAGGAGCCCTTTTGCAAGGGCTGTAGTGACCTGTGATGCTGTGACTTAAACCTTTGGGGGTGTGTGAAAGGAATCACTTCTATTCTGACTCTTCCTCTGGTAAATGAGCCTGCAAATGTCTTCTGTGTGAAGGGCTTTGTGCTCTGCCCATCACAGAACAACCCACAATAATAAGCATCTTTTAAAAACCTGAAATGCTCAAAAAATCTGGAATTCCTCAGCTGAGTTCTGACATCAGTTTTTAAAAGGCTGATTGACTGGGGCTGCAAAGGGTTTCCAAGAACATCCTGCGAGGGGGTTCCTGGGAGAAGTCAGCAAGGGAAGCTTGTTAAATCTTTACCTTCTCAGAGAAGGAGTCTGGGGATTTGGAAGTTTGCATAAGCATCTGAATTATTTCACCTTAAATGCATATTTTCCCCTCTTTTTTTTTTTTCTTTCCCATCAGATTTCCTTTATATCCAAAAGGAGGGGAGAAGCTTCAGTTTGAATATGGAGTTTATCTTCTCAACAAAAATATAGCACAGGTAGGTACACTTGAGGTGACTTTTTTATTATTATTCTTTATTTATATCTATTCTCTGCTTAGTGTCAGTATGACCTGTGTGCATGTGCTGTCTGGTGATGCTGTTCTCTGTGGGGAACATCTGTGAACTGAGATACATCCTTGAAATCCTTGTCTTACCTTACAGCTTTGGGCTTGAGGTTTTATTCTGTGGTGCTTAGAGAAGGACTGGTCAGATAGTAGTGAATCTTTTCTTTTTCAAATAGTAAATTCCATGAGTCTGTACACACTGCTTTGAAAATTGTAAATGTTTTCTGCTTTTTTATTCTGTCATACTTACAGATCCATCTGTGTCATTCTCACTGCTGTCCTTAATTTGCTGTATTATTCCTTTAACCAGTATTCTACTCTTGTAAGAAAACACAAGTAGAAAATCTGAAGTCTTGCAAAGGCGTGACTTTATACTTAATTTAAAAAAAAAAAGGACCTCCAATCAACCCTACTTCCTTGCTTTTCATGTATTTTAAAAATCATCACATAATCACTTACTATAATAATCTGGTTTAAGTCTCTTCCTCTTTGCAGACTTTCATGCTCTGAAAGACCTCCTTCCATTTTTAAAGCGTTCTCCCTCGGTTTGTGAGGATTCTTCCTGTCTCCAGTTCTCCACCTGAGTCCCCATCTCTCCTGCAGTGCAGTGCCCACAGCTGGACACAGCTGGGCAGGTGTTGCTTTCCAAGCACTGAGGAGAGAATTGGCAGAAATGCAGCCCAGCTCTTGTCCTTTTAGTTCCAGTTCCCTGTGTTCCAGTGGGTTTGTGCTTTGAACAGAGCTTCACTCCCAGGGTGAACCTCATTCAGTGCAGCAGCCCCAGGGACCTTCTGCACAGCACCCAAACCCCTCTGGGTTTGTGCAGGTTCTCAGTCATGTCTGACCTCCTGCACCTCGAGTGTCTCCTCAGAGATGCACCTTTTGTTCTCAGCCACGGGCCTGACTTGGTGATGGAAGAAACTGGGGAGAGGGGGGTTGAGAACTCAGGCTCAGCTTTGTGCTGCTGCATTTCCAGCTCTCCTAAATCAAATACTGCTGGAACTGGGGTTCTCTTCACCTGGGTGGAGCCCCCCTTCCCCTGCACTTCCATTTGCAGCCATTCCTCACTGCACCCAAAGAGTCCTTGCTCTGGACTCCCTCCTGCTTCATGAATATCCCATTTCCCCGGCATGCTTGTGAGCATATTGCACCAGAAAGTGCCAAGAGATTTAAATTCCAACAGAAATATGCCATTTCTGTTTCTAACCCATTTGTAAGGCCTGAAAGTAGATTAGTCTTACAGTTTTATTCTTGAAAAATCTGGCCTTTTAATGCTTAGTTTCTTCTTGTTTGTTTTTCCAGTTCTCTCTTCCATCACTTTTTTGCCATTCCTTACCCCAAATTGAAGTAAAGCTTCTGGATCTTTTTGTGTTGTTTGTTTTTTAAGCTTGGATTGCATTTACCATTTTCCAGACTTCTGGTGTCTTGCCCGTGCTCAGTGTATTTTGGATGATAACCTCCAGCGGCTCTGAAATTATTTAAAGGCTAAAATATCTTAAAATGAAGTTAATCAAGCCCTGCTAATCTTGGAAATTCACTTAACCAGGCTGTTAATGGAGCTTAGACTGTGCCTCTTTGTTGGTGGTATTAGTAATAGCAGCCAGCTGTTCACACTTGACCTTCATGGGGGAAGACTGGTGAGAAAAAGGGATTAAATACCCTTTGATAGCTTTCCCTCTCCATTACTATCAAATCAATGCTCTCCTTAATCTCTGCTTCCACAAACCCATTAGTTCAGTCTGTAGCCTGGGAGTGGTGGTGCTGCTTTTGATCTCAGTGCTGGAGTTTGCCATTCCATCCTGGGATGCAAACAAGAGCCTCTGGGCTCCTTGTCCTCCTCCTCTTCACGTGCTGGTTGTTTGCAGTCCGTGTGCTGGGGGTTGGTTGGCCCTTGTGCCTCTTGCATTTTGTAGGAACTGTCACCACTTCCCTGGTTTTCCTGTTTATCTCTGACTTGTCCCTGTTGGACCCACCGAAACCTCTCTCATTCTGGTTTTTCCCCTTGTCCTGTTTCTGAGGCCTCTGAGCAGCTGGACACAGGGCCACTCACCCGTGCTGCCTTCCAGCTCCTGGCACTTGGTTTCTGAAACCACTGGCAAGTGCTCGAACCCATAAAAGTAAATGAAGACTTTCAGTGCGTATTTGTGTTAAAAAAGTTTCCAAATTTCCCTGGGGTCAGTGGTGCTGTGCAAGCTGGAGCAGTGGTGGCCAGGCTTTGAAGTGGTTTGTGCAACACCAGTGGTTCACATGGTAATGTTTGGGATTGTCTGCTCTTGGATATAAAAACATAATGAAAGTAATTTGGGATTTCTGGGGGGGCTTCTCCTACTTATTTAATCAGGAAAGTGTTACTGATGTCCACATAAACTGCTGTAGTCACCTTTGGTTTGATATCCTTGGTCAAATGTTGCTGCTTTTTATAGTTCTGCCAAGGGGAAATTCCATTGTGGGAGCAGAACAGGTAGATAACTGCAGGAAAACATCACAACCCCTCTGTGCTCAGGGGCTGACTCGACCTGAAAACCCGAGACTCTGTGAATCCTTTGTGCTCCTGGGGATGCTGGAACTGTTGAACTGAAGTAGCTTTTAGAAGATCTCAGGGCTGCTTTCAGAGGAGCTCCTGCATGTGCTTAGTTCATGTGGATGTGTGAAAGTAATGAAGTTTGGATGGAGAATGAGCAGCTGCCTCTCTCTCATCTCCAGACCTGAAAGAGGATCCTTTTAAGGCCCAAAGGTGTTGGCCTTAATTCAGAGAACCGGTCCTGAAATGACTCTTTGTCGTGAATAGATGTGAATCCATTGCCCAGTTCCCTCAGTGTGCTGTGGGAAGGCTGGAGGTGGCTGGGAGGGACAGTGGTGACTTCACTGGAGAGTTAGGAGAAGAGCCTGGGTCTCCATCACCTCTCTTGAATCGTTCCTGCAAGTCTTGATCACTGTGGGTGAGAGACAAAGAGCCCAGAAAAACTTGTATCAGCTTAAAGAAATACTTGAAAGGATTTGTATGAGCTCTCCCAGTTTCACAGAGTTTTACATAATGTTTTATTCCCTCTCACAATTACCTGGAGTTCTGCTGGCAGAGGAGAAACGTGAGCGGGGGAGAAGTGAGGCGGGGTTGATAGTGAGTAAAATGACTGAAATAAAGACTCTACTAGAGATAAAGTGGTACTGTTTTGTAAAACAGCAGGATAATAACAATGGAAACCACATCTTGCTCTCGGGGGAATTCAGCTGGAATTAGAAGCAGCTCAGTGCTAGCTTGGTAGAGCATTTATTTGGGGAAACTTGCTTTGCTGTTACATTCCGAAGTCAAAACAATGTGTGTTAATTCCGAGAGCTCATAATAACTTCCATCTGGACATGAGCACAAATTGTTTCAATCCCCATATTTTCTGTTTGTAAAATTGAATCCCTCACGAAGTGCACAGAGGAGCTTTTTAAGTTGGATAACGTTAGGTAAGACCATAAATTTCCAGTTAAGATTTCAGCTCTTTGACTCTAACAAACGAATGTGGGGGTGGGTTTTATTCTTTTCACAGGGAAATTAGTGACTTGTGTCTAATAATACCTACCAAAAAACTCACTGTCATTGTCAAAGGTAGAGTACAAAACAGTTGCTAAAAATGGGAGTGAATTGCTCAGCTCTCCAAAGCATTGGGCAGTGGGAGAGCATTCAGCAGGTAGCTGATCCCAGACTCCACAGCTGGTAAATGAGGCATGTGTGTGGGGAGTATCTGAGGAAGATGAGGCTTTAGGAGGAGAAGGAAATGAACTCTCACCCTGATATTCACAGCAGAGAGACTGAGATTACACTGTGGAAACCTCCTTTTACAGTGGTTGAATATTAGGAGTTCCTGAAGCTTGGTCAGGTTTGCTGTGGGCGGTGAGTGAACACAGCAGGGGCAAGGCTGGCACCTCTCAGGGGTCTCATCCTGCTGGCACAGCCATGGACCTTCTGAGTAAAGAATTTCTTCCTGGTATCTAACCCAAATCTGCCCTCCCTTAGTTTGGCACTGTTCCCCTTGTCCTGTCCCTGCCTGCCTGTGTCAAAAGTTCCTGGCTGTGTTTGTTGGAGGCTCTGCAGATGGTGGCACATCACCTTCCCAGGCATCACTCCCAGGCTGAGTGAAGTCTTTGGGATTTGTTACAGGGCAGGAGTTGAGGTTGTTCTTCCTCCTGTTCAGGCTGAGTGCGTGCTCAGGATCACCTCCCAGGGAGGGATCTCATCTGATCCTGATTTGTTTTGTCAGACAGCTCTTGAGGGGTGTCAGACTGACACTGGCATGGTTTGCTCAGCCCTGGCCAAGGAACAGTTGTGCTTTCATCTGACAGTCATTAGCAACACATGAACTTTGCTGTTGGACACAGGAAAACCCCTCCCTCCTTTGTCAGTCCCCGAGGATGTTTGTTTTCACATCAGTACAATGCAGATCCAAGGCAGTATCTGGGTCCAGCCCTCCTGTGGTGTGTCCAGAGCTGTGTCCACGTGGTGCCAGGAGGAATTGCGTGCTTGGGGTGACTTGCTGGGGATGGTCAGCCAGTTCTGCTCTCCTGGGAGTGCTGCCCTGTGCTCCAGTGGCCCATCCAATGCACGAGGTAAGGAACACGCACAGAAGAAAAGCAAAATACTCCTTGACGTGTTTTGGGTGCAGCCAAACTGCCATCTTTCCAATAGCTGCATGGAAGGAAAGTTGAGTGCTTATGTACTGGTGCCACGTGTAAGAAACCCAACTGAAATTCAGCTCTTAATCATGAAATGGGGCAAGGTGTGCAGTTCCTGGCTCCTATTAGACTATCAAACATGTGAGAAAATCCACTTTATAATAGAAACTATTAAACTTTTCCATGGGAAGTTGAACAGCAGAAATGTTAGGCCTAGAAATTTCTTTTGGCAATAAACACTAGGGAGCAGAAGTGTCTTTAAGGGTGCTGTGG